CCCTCCCCCACCTTCTCTCCGAGGTTCCCCACTCCAACAGCCCCTGGTCTTGATCTGGGGCTGCCTTCCCCTTCCTGGCACTGCGGCTTGACTACTGTGCCAGTCCCAACAAGGGTGCAGCCCCCCCACAGGTGCCCCTGGAGCTCCTGCCACCATGGGGACCCAGAGAACTCACTGGTCACATGGCTCTCACCCCACAGGACAAGAGACTAACATCTAGGTGAGGGAAGGTCCCAACAGCCGTGGGACGATGAAGAATTCAGAGGGGGCCTCCTCCCTGGACCCACCTGATCTCAGTGACGTTGCCCGAGGCCTGGGCGCAGACGTGTAGCAGGGTGAGCACCCCCGCTCTGCCCATCCACGGCTCCTCCACCCTGTTGCAGAAGCGGACACAGACAAAGGTCCCCTGGGTAAGCAGGGGTAGTGGGTAGGGGTTCTCTTTTATTATGGGGACCCCAGAGGCTTTGGGGGTTTTTGCTTATTTCAAAACTATAACATTATACAACCAGGCAGAAGCATAACACAGGAATGACCATTCTCATCCCAGCTGTTATTGCAACAATGCAAACAGAAAGTGTTATTTTTAAATAATATTTTTAGATTAAACTGAAGGTCCACATAATGTTACATCGCAGAGAAGGATACAAAACAGTCTCTAAAACATGATTGCAGTTTCCTATTTGAGGAAAGGAAAAATACGTATGGAGAGAAAGAGAGAGAGAGAGAGAGAGATGGGGAAACTATATTAAATGTTAATGGTATTTGTTTAGATAGTGGCGTTCTCGTGATGTTTTTATTTTATTTCTTCTTTAGTTTTCAATATTTTCTGGGCTTTCTAAATGCACATGCATTACCTTAGACACAGGACAAAGAGAGTTGCTGAAAATACTCCTGCTTTTACAGTTATACTGTATTCTTTCCAGTGCTATTTTTTTAATGCTCTTATGGGCTTTCCCGCAGAGTTCTACAACTACCATACATTATCTTTAGAGTAAGAAAATTTTATTTTCGAACACTGTTCGGGGGGTCCGGCAATTCTGGGTTCACATCCGAGAGAACTGCAAGCAGAGACACAGAGAGATGTTTGCGCGTCTGCAGCGCTATTCACAAGATGGACCTTAAGGACACACGGTACACATGCTACCACACGGGTGAACCTTAAGGACACACGGTACACATGCTACCACACGGGTGAACCTTAAGGACACACAGTACACATGCTACCACACGGGTGAACCTTAAGGACACACGGTACACATGCTACAACACAGATGAACCTTAAGGACACACAATACACATGCTACCACACGGGTGAACCTTAAGGACACATGGTACATATGCTACAACGCAGATGAACCTGAAGGACACACGGTAAGTGAAATAAGCACTTCTATGAGTCCCTAGACTTGGAGACAGAAAGTAGAAGGGTGGTTGCCAGGGGCTGGGGGAGGGGCGTGGGGAGTGCATGTTTAATGGGAACCCAGTTTCCGTTTTGCCAGAAAATAGTTCTGGAGAAGGAAGGTGGCGATGGCTGCACAACAATGTGACTGTACTTAACACGACTGAACCGCACATTTAAAAATGCCGGGCTGGCGAGGCTCAGAGGTTGAGCATCGACCTATGAACCAGGAGGTCACAGTTCAGTTCCCATCAGGGCACATGTCTGGGTTGCGGTCTTGATCCCCAGTAGGGGCCGTGCAGGAGGCAGCCGATCAATGATTCTCTCTCATCACTGGTGTTTCTCTCTCCTTCCCCCTTCCTTTCTGAAATGAATAATATATAGATATAGATATAGATAGATATATAGGTATATCTATCTATCTATATCTATCAATATATCTATATATACCTATATCTATCTATTTATCTATCTCTATATTTCTATATCTCTATATATCTATATATCAATATAGATATATATAAAACGCTTCGGCGGAAATAAAAAAGTGAAGCAAATTTCGAAAAATATGAACCTAGGTGATGGGATATGAGTTTTCAAAATGATTCTCCTTTTTGGTGTCTTCTGTCTCTTTCTGAAGGTTTTAAAATGACAGGAGTGGACATACGAACACGCTATTTGTTGGATGTTATTTCTGACCTCAACTGGATGCCATTTGGAGTTTTTGTTGTTGTTGTTTTGTTTTTTGTTTTTGGTTAATCCTCACCCAAGGATAATTTTTCCAAATTATTATTATTATTTTTTAGAGAAAGTAGAGGAGAAAGAGGAGGGGGTATGGAGAGAGAGAGACAGAAATATCGATGTGAGAGAGACACGTTTGTTGGTTGCCTGCCATTCACACTCCAACCAGGCCAGGGATCAAGCTTGCAGCTGAGGTACAGGCTCTCGGCCGGGAATCAAACCTGAGACCCTTCGGCCCAAGGACTAACGCTCTAACCACTGAGCACAACTGGCCGAGCATCTCTCTATTTTTTCTGAAGGCCCCAAGCCTAGACCCCGCCCTGGGGAAGGCAGGCTCTCTGTGTGCCTGAGGGGGGCTCTGGGACCAATGGGCAGGTCGGCTCTGTGTCCAGGTGGCAAGAGTTCCGGGTGCAGGAAATGGCCAGGGCACAATCCGGGGGGACCCATACCCCAGTGCCCGCCCTGCTCTCATTCACACCCCCCGCCCCCTCCCCCAGGGGCACAGAGGAAGACACTACCTGAGCCTGAGCAGCCCCTCCGGCCGCCTCAGCAGACGCAGGAGCAGGGTCAGGGGTTGCAGGTCCAGGCAGCACCGGCTCAGCCTGGGACAGAGGTAGGTTAGGCGGTGGCCCTAGGAGGGAGCCCCGCCCCTCAGCTGCCCCGACGGGCTGGCCCGTAACTCACGTGAGCTCCGTCAGGTGCCAGGCCTGGCTCAGGCCAGCGGCCAGTCTGGGCACGTGCTCCGGTCTGAAGCTGCACTCCCTGAGCCTGAGGGCAGGGGGCAGAGGGCAGAGCCTGGGTGAACTCTGTCCTGCTTCCTCCCAGCCCCCCAGGGCCTTTGGGGGCCCCCAAAGTGCTAAGGGGTCCCCAATGAGTGCTAAGGCCTGGACCAGGTCCTGAGCAAAGGCCAACGGTGCAGCTCCTGCCCTGGGAGCCCCCGTCTCTTTGAGAGACCACCCCCCAAGAAAGTGCTGGGAGTGAGTCCCTTAGTGAGCCTCCGGGTAGCAGCAGGAGCGGGTGAGCTCACCGAACCCCAACAGTGACCTTCACGGGCCGAGACACCGACTAACCCCGGTGCTGGGGGTGAATGGGTGGAGGAGGCCTGGCCAGGCCCAGGGGGCCGGTTTGGAGGCTGTGATCACACTAAAGTCAGACAGGGAGAGGAACCGCCCCAGGGCAGTGGTGGAGAGAGGCCGTGGCCAAGGCTACTGAGGGGAAATCCTATATAATAAAAGGCTAATATTCAAATCAACCGGACGACCTGGGAACACACGAGGGGCAGAGAGCCTGAAGGAGGAGTGGGCTCAGTGAAGAAGGAGGCATGGAGCCCCACAGAGTCAGCTCCCACCCCCCTCAGGCCCCCTCACCCCAGACCAGCACTCACCTCAAGGTCTTCCCAGCCTCCTCCTGTCGGGAGAAGTGAATCCGGAAGCTCTGCTCAGCGCCCAGGCTGCAGAGAGAGGGTATGAGAAGCCAGAGGCTGGCCAGCATCCTCGGCACCCAGGCGCCAGGGGGCGCCGGAGAGAACAGGGCTGGGGTGCAGGGGCCGGGGCTGGGGGAGCCACGAGGGAGAGGCCCTTCCTGACCAGAGGAGACCCCACCCCAACCAGCAAGCACACTCACGCCTGCCCTTCCCCCCCGTGACCTCCCTAGCCCCCTGGCATGCGGGGCTCAGAGCGTGGAAACTGTGGGCCCCCAGCCCCAGTCACACAGACAAAGGCTGCGACATGTGGGGGCCTTGCTCCCCCCACCAGCCGCAAGTGGCACCAATGTCTTACTTCACGGCGGCCTCCCGGATACGTGGGCAGGAAGGGAGGGTCTCCACCAGGCACAGGGCACCTTCCTGAGAGATGCTGTTGCCACTCAGGCTGGAAGAGAAACGAGGTTTGGGCTGGGGTGTGGGGGCAGCACCTCCATGAGCCCTTCCTAGCCCCCCTTGTCTCCCCTCCAGCTGTCATTTCCAGGAGGAGAGACCTTCAAGTCCAAGTGTCCATTCCCCAGGTGGAGGCACTGGGATCCACTCTGGCCCCATCTCCGTACGGGCAGCGTGGCCCCCGTGTCCTCCAGAGCTGCACCCTCTGGGCCTGCTGGCCTTTGGGTCTGGGACAGGCCAGGCTGGCAGCTCCGGCCCCACACAGAGCACCCAGCTCTGTTGCCTAGCAACGGGCTGTATCCTGGCCCTGGCTGCCCACCTCCCAGCTCCCTGGGGAGATCAGGGGAGAGTGTGGATGACTTCCTGGGACCCTCCCTGCTGTGGGGGCATCTCTAAACCCATGTCCCGTGGATTTGTTCAGAGGAGCTTCAGGGACGGGGTGGACCAGGGGCTGGTCCTTGAGGCTGCTCATCACTTACTCAAGAGAACCCGAGATGGGCAACCGAGGCAGACTCATCAGCAAGCACCTGAGCCCGCCGTCACCCAGCTGGTTGGCTGACAGGCTGTAGGAGGGAAGAGGAGGCAGTTGATGGTCAGAGCTGCATCGCTGCCACTCCACCCACACAGCACCCTCATCACCACCTTCACCTCACCCCGCCAGTCAGCGCTGCTCCGTCCCAACATCACCACCACCACCAGCTTCATCCCATCATCACTCCTTGAATTCCCCAAGCCCACCACCACCAGCACCATCTCCACTAGGATCATCGCCAATTATCACCACCACCACCACCACCACTACCACCACCATCTCCACTAGGATCATCGCCAATTATCACCACCACCACCACTACCACCACCATCTCCACTAGGATCATCGCCAATTATCACCACCACCACCACCACCACCACCATCTCCACTAGGATCATCGCCAATTATCACCACCACCACCACCACTACCACCACCATCTCCACTAGGATCATCGCCAATTATCACCACCACCACCACCACTACCACCACCATCTCCACTAGGATCATCGCCAATTATCACCACCACCACCACCACTACCACCACCATCTCCACTAGGATCATCGCCAATTATCACCACCACCACCACCACTACCACCACCATCTCCACTAGGATCATCGCCAATTATCACCACCACCACCACCACTACCACCACCATCTCCACTAGGATCATCGCCAATTATCACCACCACCACCACCACTACCACCACCATCTCCACTAGGATCATCGCCAATTATCACCACCACCACCACCACTACCACCACCATCTCCACTAGGATCATCGCCAATTATCACCACCACCACCACCACTACCACCACCATCTCCACTAGGATCATCGCCAATTATCACCACCACCGCCACCACCACCACCATCTTCACTAGGATCATCGCCAATTATCACCACCACCGCCACCACCACCACCATCTTCACTAGGATCATCGCCAATTATCACCACCACCGCCACCACCACCACCATCTTCACTAGGATCATCGCCAATTATCACCACCACCGCCACCACCACCACCATCTTCACTAGGATCATCGCCAATTATCACCACCACCGCCACCACCACCACCATCTTCACTAGGATCATCGCCAATTATCACCACCACCGCCACCACCACCACCATCTTCACTAGGATCATCGCCAATTATCACCACCACCGCCACCACCACCACCATCTTCACTAGGATCATCGCCAATTATCACCACCACCGCCACCACCACCACCATCTTCACTAGGATCATCGCCAATTATCACCACCACCGCCACCACCACCACCATCTTCACTAGGATCATCGCCAATTATCACCACCACCGCCACCACCACCACCATCTTCACTAGGATCATCGCCAATTATCACCACCACCGCCACTATCACCAACATCTCCACTAGGATCATCGCCAATTATCACCACCACCGCCACCACCACCACCATCTTCACTAGGATCATCGCCAATTATCACCACCACCACCATCATGCAGCAGCTCCCGTGTCCCTGTCACCATCCCCTCACCAGCACCACAGTTAACCAGTCCCCATCTTCCCCTCCAATAGCTGCTGACCACTCCCAGGACTCCAGCAGGCTTGCGGGAGTTCAAGAAAACCCAATTCGCTTTGACTATGCCCTTGTCCCGCGTCAGTTGGGAGCTGCCATTTTGGAACCAGAGTAAATTCAGGAAAAGGGTATTTGGGGGCTGTATTTACCCAATGGAGCTCCTCTTTCAACTTGGGAATGCAATATCGGAAACTGGGCTTCAGTGCTTTCTTACTTCCCTTCACTGGAGCAGCCTAGGGCTTTAGCCGCAGTGTAGGGACAGTATAACCGGCCTGCCTGGGGTATCTGATTTTGTCCTGCATCTTTGAACTCCTTTTGCCCCTGATTTTGACACTCCCGAGGCTTATCTATTTCGTCTTTTCCTGAGACACTGCAAAAATTAGCTTGTTTCACAAAGCCCCTTAATCATCTTTAAAATAAGAAAAAGTGCCCTCTACAATGAAAAAAGCAAAGAAACAAGAAAAAAACTCAAAAGACATATTGCTTATTCCTTTTTCGCTGACATACATAATTTTTGCCCTGGCCCGTGTGGCTCAGTTGGTTGAGCATTTTCCCATGCACCAAGAGGTCGCAGGTTTGATTCCCAAGCAGGGCACACGCCTGGGTTTCAGGCTCAATCACCAGTGAGGGGCGTGCAGGAGGCAGCCAATAGATATATCTCTCTCTCACTCACTGATGTTTCTCTCTCTCTCTCTTTCTCTCTCTCTTTTTCTCTCTCTCTCTTTCTCTCTCTCTCTTTCTCTCTCTCTCTCTCTCTCTCCAAAATCAACAAAAATTATTAAAATCAATAGAAAACATATTTAAAAAATAAAATACATTATTTTCATCAGCCACATTTCTCTTCTTGGCCACCTCATGACAGGAAGTTAATTTAATTTTTTTGTACAGCTCTCTTTCACTCCTGCAGGCCCTTAGCTGGAATCCCTACCAGCTGTGAAAAGACTCCACATTGTATTAGCTGTGTGACTTTGAGCAAGTCCTTGCACTCTCTGAGCCTCAGCTTTCCCATGTGCAAAATGGGGATAACAGTACCTGGGTTTGTCAGAAGGATGAAAAGACGATCTAAGGCACTTAGGTCAGTGGAGAAGTGCCCAATAGTGTTTGCTGTTATTATTATTATTTTATTTTTCTACCCATGTGGGGGCTGCACTATTTGGGCATCCAAGACAGGCCACATGGATACCGCTTCTCAACAGCACGAAAGCTCACGAGTCCCTGACCAGCTGGCTCCGGGACCCCGCTCAGGCCGAGGCATGTGGTACCTTTAACCCCCTGCCAGGCAAACCAATGGACCCTTCGCTTAGTGCCCATCAGCCAGCAGAGCTCCGACGCCTTGATCAACGTGAGGCCAACGGGCTCCTGTGGCCCTTATGAAGGGCTCCCCAACTTAGATTCAGGGCACACTCTGAAGTAGCTCCACTACGGCAGGAGTAGGGGTGGGTGGGAGGGATACAATGGTACAGAGAAACCTTAAGGGTGTGTCTCTTTCTCCTGAGCTGGGGTTGAGTGCGCACGCGCGCACACACACACACACACACCCTCCAGTGCCACCCAGGTGCCTGCTCCGAGACTGCTCTCCCTGCTCCTCTCCTCATACTTACTCCAGCTGGCTGAGGTCCTCACACTTCCTCAGCAACTCGCACAGTGGCTCCACGTGCATCTGGCTGAGGCCACAGTCCGTGAACCTGCTGGGGGAGGGGGAACGAGCCGGAGCTGGGGCAGTGAGCCACTCAGACCCACCCCGCCCTGGCTTGTCCTGATGTGGCCTCCCCCAAGCTTGGACTCTCTGGGGCTATCCACTTCCACCTTCCCCACAGCCGGTCCCACTGGCGCCCCTGTGCTCCCTCTGGGGAGGTGGCCCTTGAAGGGGGAACTTGGTGAGATGCGAAGTCTGCGAACTCAGCCCAGCCCCACTGAGTCAGCACCTCTAGGGGCAAAGCCCTCTGACTCAACCTCCAGCTGGAGAATGCCAGCTCTTGGGGTCACTAAAAATTCTATCTATATATAAAAAGGTAATATGCTAATTGGTCCTAATGGTATCCCAGTCACGACAGGTCAATGGCTGCATGTGCACAGGAGCTGGTGGGCTGGAACAGGGTCAGGGACTTGGGTGGGGACACAGACAGGGGGGCCTGCCTGAGCCACCATGGCACGGCTTGAGCAGGCCCAGAGCAGATCTACTTAATTCCCTTTTAATGTGCACGAATTTCATGCACCGGGCCACTAGTATGTATATATTTTTAGAGAGAGGAAGGAAGAGAGAGAGAGAGAAACATCACCCAAACCACAAGTGTGTGCCCTGACCAGGAATTGAACCGGCGACCTTTCGGTGCACGGGACAATGCCCAACCAGCTGAGCCACACAAGCTAGAACTCAGTCATTTTAATGAAAAGACATGGGGTAGGGAGCAGGGTGAGATCTACTCTTGAGAAGGCTATTGTTGCTGGAATGAAAATGAGTGGCGAATCTGCCTTTGAAAGGCCTAACCTTCAACTATATAACAAGGCAAAGGAAGAGCCTGTGACCAGCCAGCAACTGAGGGGGGAAAAAAATCTTCAAATCAGAAAGTTCCTAAAATCCACATTTCACATTTTTATCACTGTTACTTTCCTTCCTCGTTTTCCCCACAGTCCTAAATTCCCTCGCACCCTATTTTTACTTTCTATTTTCAAGTCAGCTCATTCTGGTTTAACTCCTTTATTGTAAAAGGCAACCCCGTGTCACTCACTCAGATGGGAAACTGGCATCACGTGCCACACACAGGCCGTAAGCGTAAGAACACACGAGAGCAAAACCCCAGCATTAAAGCCCAGCCAGAGACTCACACCTGCCGAGGGCTCTCTCCCTTTAAAAGGGAGCTTAGTGTCGAGACGTGTTAAACACCTGCTAACACACCACCGAGACCTCCTCCTGGCCGTAGACACACGGAATCGTGACCTCACGAAGGAGTCAATGAACTTGAAGGAGTCAATGAACTTGAAGGAGTCAATGAACTTGAACACTGACTCTGCTATCTTCCCAATCCCTAAAAATCACCCCATCCCGGTCAGGGTCCTACAGTTTGGAAACCTCTGGCTTGGAAACTATCGCTGGGCTAGGACAGGAGTCAAAAACTACAGCTAAGCCCGGCCGGCGTGGCTCAATAGTTGAGCATCAACCTATGAACCAGGAGGTCACGGTTAGATTCCTGGTCAGGGCACACGCCTGAGTTGTGGGCTCGATCCCTCCTCCTCTTCCTCCTCTTCCTCCTCCTCCTCTAAAGAATGGTGCCTTCAGAAGCTCAACAAATATCGGCTCTTCTGCTTCTTAGTTCACAGCTGAGGTGCAGCCAGAAGGGTCTGGTCCAAGGGCTCTGAGGAGCCAGTGGCAGAAATGTCATCTCTGCACTCAGAGGTCACCCTCCCATGAGCCGCCTGCACGCAATACCTGCCCCCTCAGCCCGCAACCACAGAGCACTGGTCCCGGAGTCAGCAGGGGGGCACTGGCACATGTGACACCCATGCCTGACATGTTGCCTCATGTAATCCTTGCAAGCGCCCTGCAGCACGGGGTCTCCCGTCTCCAGCAGCAGGAGCCGAGGATCAGAGAGAACAAGGAGCTTGCCCCAAGTGCCAGGCCTCATGGAGCTGGGATTGAAGCCTGGGGGACGGTGATGAAGCCCCTTTCCTCCAGCTCTCAGTTCTGGGCCAGTCTGACGTGTACCCCTTTGCCCTTGACAAAGCCCACCCTCTCTGGAGGCTTGCTCCCTTTTAAATTATTTTTATATTGATTTTTCTTTTTTAGAGAGAGACAGAGACATCAATTTGTTGTTCTACTTATTGATGCATTCATTGGTTGGTTCTTATATGGGCCCTGACTAGGGATCAAATCCACAACTTTGGCATATCGGGACAATGCTCTAACCCAGTGGTCAGCAAACTGCGGCTCGCGAGCCACATGGCTCTTTGGCCCCTTGAATGTGGCCACGAAGTTTCAACAGCACTGTACGTGTGCGCCCGCACGTGGTATTTTGTGGAAGAGCCACACTCAAGGGGCCAACTGAGCTCTAACCAACTGAGCTACCTGTCCAGGCTGGAGCCCTGCCTCTTCACATTGGAGGAAACAAGTCCCCTTGTAGGTCCTTCTGGGGGAGCGCTCTGCACAGTCTCTGCTGTCTGTCCTCTTGCCACCAGGAGGCAGGTCTCCCGGTCCCACTACCGCTGGCTGCCAGGGCACCGCCCCGGGACTTACCCACAGCGCCCGCCTTTCTGCTCCTCGCTGGACCTGAAGTGCAGGGTGGCATCATGCAAGGACCTGGAGCACACGGTACCTGGGTCAGCGCCCTGGCCACAGCCTTGGATGCCCCCAGGAGGCACCCCTCCTCCAGGAGCCCAGCCTCTGACGTGGGTCCTACTGCCTCCATCCTGCCCCTCACACCCACCAGGCTTCAGGCTCAGCCCCCAAGACCAGCCCCATTGCCCCTGGGCAATGCCCACCTGAGATCCACCTTCTCCGCTCGTGGGCACAGGCCGAGGCGGTGAGCCAGCAGAAAGGGGCTCCTCGGGGACAGTGGCGTCTGGCTCAGCCTGAGGAGGGAAGGGGCGACCCCAAGTCAGCAAGTTGGAGCCGGGCAGGCTCAGTGGGCAAGGAGCCGGGACAGGCTGGCGGGCAGGAACCGGGGGTGGGGAGGGCAGCACTGCAATGAGGAAGTGGGGACTCAAGAGGGGCACTTAAGGGCTTGGGGTCAAGCAGGCTAGGGTTTGAGCCCCAGCTCTGCTTACTGGCTGTGTGTCCCTGCATGAGTCATTCAAGCTCTCTGAGCCTCAGTTCCCCTACATGGACAACAGGCCTGTACTCATGGTCTACCTTCCTCTGCAGGTGTCCTGAGCGTTTAATTACATCGAGTGTGGGCACTGCCGAACCGACACCTAAGCTCCTTATTATTATATTAGAGGCCTGGTGCACGAAATTCGTGCAAGAGTAGGCCTTCCTTCCCCCGGCTGCTGGCACCGGCTTCCCTCTGGCACCCGGGACCCAGGCTTCCCTCACAGCCCCGGCTTCATTTGGAAGGACATCTGGTCTAATTAGCATTTATGCTTTTATTATTATAGATTTCTCCCTCAAGCACAGACTTAACAGGTGAGTCTTGGTGGCAGGGAGCAGGATGCAGTGTGTCCAGCACCCCAAACAGCTCTGGCCCACAGCAGTGCATAAGCACTATGACTGAGTAACATACAAAGTGTAAGACCCGGGGACCGTCAGGCTGGCCACCTGGCTCCAAAGACAGACGCTGTGTGACTTGGGCATAGAGACGTCCCTCTCTGGTCTGAAGTTTTGCACCTGTTCATTTTAACCCGCCACCCTCTGTGTCCAAAGGAGCCTGCCTGACCCGTTCTCTCCTGATGGTAGGACCAGAGTGGGTGCCGTGGGGGTTGGTGTGAGCTCTGCTGAATTTGCCCACCTCTGGAAAGCCACCGTCTCCTCCCTTCCTCCCTCCCTCCCACAGGACTCAGGAGGATGGAGAGCCTGGGTGTTTGTGAGCCGGCTCAGGTGTCCCGGGAGCCTCAGCATTAGAACTTAGGTTGCTGTTATGAATGACACGATTAATTTTCCTGTTGTATTTTTCCACCTCCGCTGCAGCTTCTCCCACCTGCTAGAAGAGTGAAAGTAAATCCTTTTTAAATTCTAACCAGTCGGAGCTGAAACTAGAAAACAGAATTTTAAATACTTTAAGGGAGGCCGCTCCAGTTCCCTTTTCTGAATGTGCACGGTGACCTTTAAAAAGTGGTGTGGCGTGAGCATGACCTGCCTCTGGAGAGTCCCTTTCTAGAAGCGGGTGACTTCTGTGGGTGGGGAGCAGTCCCATAGCCCACCTGTCACAGGCCTGTCATTCTTCAAGGTGCTTTGAAACAACTGTCTTGTTTGAGTCCCATCCCTGGGGGAATATTAATCCCATTTGTCAGATGTGGAAACTGAGGCCCAGAGGGGTCAAATAACACCCCCGAAGGTGGATGAAGTCTAAGGAAAGAGCTGCAAGTAGACTCGAGCTCCCAGTTGTGACAGATGCAATGATGACACAGCTCAAGGGAAGGAGGGCGGAGGAGGGAGGGGGTGGCTTTGCACAGAAAACTGGGGAAAACACCTACTGCAGGAGGCTCAGCTGGGGGAGCCGGGGCAGGTGCCCCAGCAGGGTGTCCAGGCTCTGGTCACTCAGCACCACGCAGGACAATCTGTGAGACAGAACATCTGAATGACGTGGGGAAGCCTTGGCGACAGCTAGGAGCGTGGCCACGCAGCCAGAGCCGGGCCCCAAACATTCCCTCTGAACACCAGCTCCCTGGCTGATCACGGAGGCTAGAGAGAGAGGAAGGTCATATGCGATGGGAAACGCTGGGTTATGCCAGACTCGTTTTCTTTGACTTCTAAGAAGAGTGCTTTTTGCAGCGTTGGCTGCAGTGCTAATAATAATAATAATAATAATAATAATAGCAACAGCAGCAACAACAGTAATAATAAATCAAACCAAAACAAAAAATACTGGGAGCAGCCTGCATGTCTATCTAGATTCTGGCATTGGTGTGTGTGTGTGTGTGTCTGAATAATTTGTGGCACAAGCCAACTGTGGAGGGTTAGTATCAAAAGGCACGGCTATGCAAACATCGTGTGAGAAACACAAGCCATCAGGGACAATGAAACATCGATGGGATATTTGAGGATTTTAATAGGTCATAAAATAATGTTGCTATTTTAGGGTCCTATGACTTTGACTACACTTAGTTGTAAATCCTAGCTCTAGAACTCTCTCCCTCTCTCTCTTCCTCTAAGAGACCGTCCCCTCGGATAATCAGTCACCCCCGAGGCAGCAGAAACCAGGCCTGGGTAATGGTCTGGCTACAATCACATCTTGACCTGCTAAGTTTCGGCTCCCGAGCCCTAAGGTGGAACAGACCCCCCTGGCTACTTTCCCATGAGACCGGGCAGAGGGACCCTGGCAAACACCTCACAGCTGTGCTCAGCACCCAGAGAAAGGACTCATGACCTCATCTCCGCCCGCCAGTCAGCTCCCAGCACAGCTCCAACCCTAGCGCCCCCGTCCTGGGATGTTGTCCCACAGGGTCTGTAACTCACACACCACGGGGCAGTTCTGCATCTGAGCACTAGCCTCCGTTCTCCTGGAGGGGCACTCGGAATAAAATACCCCATCTCTCTCCCCTGCGGTCCTCGGGGTCAGTATTTGGCTCTGCTAGCACCGGATGGACAAACCCTTTCTGTTCTGTAACAATAAGTTTTGTAAAAAAAAAAAAGAGAGAGAGCAGGTCCAGTGGGGCTCAGTGGTTGAGCGTCAACCTATGAACCAGGAGGTCACCGTTCAATTCCCGGTCTGGGCACAGGCCCGGGTTGCGGGCTCCATCCCCAGTGTGGGGTGTGCAGGAAGCAGCTGACACATGACTCTCTCTCTCATCATATGTTTCTATCTCTCTCTCCTCTCCCTTCCTCTCTGAAATCAATAAAAATATTTTAAAAAAAGAAAAGTGGGATCCCATAATGCAGGTTATCAGAGGCCCATTCACCATTTGTTGGCTCAATTCCAGTGTATCAAAATTTACATGAGACTGGTTATGTGGATTTGACTGATAGGGTATATTTTGTTGCAAAGTAGAAACTACATATTGAAACTACATATTGAAATGAAATGAGTGACCTTGAAAAGCTTTTCTACTACAGACAAGTTTACAGGCTATGCCAAGGCAAATGTGAAGAAGAGCCGTTGATCATATTTTTGCTCTTCTTTTTTCAGTTTCTTAAAGTTGAAGCTTAGATGATT